GAAGTATGAGGCCCTAAGTACAAGCACCTACTTGGGGAATCTATAGATCGAGGTACAGATCTCTACATCTGCAGCAGAGGCACGATACGAACTCATGCAAGATATGTGTAGAGATACGAACATGAATGTAGACGCTCGGGTGTACACCGTACATGCATACATTTTATATGTACATACGGACCGATAATATGATGAATCTGAGTTCGTTCAACGGGAAGCGTACGTATGAGCCCACGCATTTACATATGCATCTGTACATGTACACATGGATACATCTATACATATCCGAGCAGCTTGTCAGGTGTATAAGCCGACATGTGCATGGGAATACAGGTGCATGGTTGCAACCTAGGTCTAGAGAGGCACATGTGGATACAGGCGCTCAGAAATCACCGTAACAAATACACATACACATACCTATATGTACATATGTGGATGACCTGATACTTTTGTGGGGATCCTTGCTGATTTCCCGACGCCTGCCCACTTCTGAGTGTAAGTGCGCGTCCAATGCAAACCAATGATGATGACCCGCCCCCGCCTCTCCAGGCCATTGTGGTACTGCGAGAAAGCTATGGATGGTGAGATCAACTGGAACATAGATATTGACACATATTGATCGTGGGACCGATTGCTACTTTGATAGTGCGGTCGATGTGTAGATCGTGGGGCCGATTTATGAGGACATCCCCCAAACGCTGCTTGCACTTCGGGGATCTTGCTTCGTCTCAAGGGAACTGGGCTGGTGTGCCGTCCCGGCGAGCTTGCGGTCGTCCCGTCACCGCCCCGTCGCCGCTCGTCACTGCCTGTCGCCGCCTCGTCGCGGGCTCTCGTGCCGCCCCGGCCTGCTGGTGGTCGCCCCGTCGCCGCCCCGTCGCCGCTCGCCGCCGCCCGATCGCCGCCCGATCGCCGCTGGCCGCCGCTCGTCGCCTCCCGTCGCCGCCTCGTCGCGTGCTCGTGCCCGTTTCCCCCCCCGTCGCCGCCCTGTCGCCGCCCTGTCGCCGCCCCGTCGCCGCCCGTCGCCACCCCGTCGCCGCTTGTCTCCACTGTGGTCTCCGATCAGCATCGCTTGTATCAATAGGTAGCATCACATAGCTTGCCCCACACAGATTGCACCATATAGATTGCGCCCCATAGCCTCCACCGCATAGCACACATATCATAGCTCAAGCTACATCGCTTGCACCTGGAAGCTCACCCCGCATTGCTCAGACCACGTAGATTTCACTTCATAGCTTGCACCATGTAGATTGCAAAACGTAGCTTGCACCACATAGATCGCACCCCCCTGATTGCACAACACATATTGTACTACATTTCTCTCACCCCATAGGTCGGACCACATAGCTTGCACCACATAGCTTGCACCACCTAGATGAGCACGTTATCTCCACATAGCTTGCGCCACATAGTTTGCACCAAATAGCTCACACCACATACACTGCATTGCACAGATTCCACCACTTGGATTGCACTACGTAGCTTGCACCACATGGAGCGAACCACATGTATTGCACCACGTAGACTGTGCTACTTAGCTCGCACCTCATAGATCGCACCACGAAAATTGCATCACGCAGATTGCACCACGTAGATTGCACCACATAGCTTGCACCACAAAGCTTGCACCACATAGCCTGCACCACTTGGCTTGCACCACGCAGCTTGCAGCACGTGGATTGCATCACCCAGCATGCCAGAAACCACTGTTTGGGGTCCACGCTGGCTAACATTTTGCCCATTCTGGACCTGCACCCCGAGAAGTGAGAGGAATCCCCGAGGGTGCCCCCCCAGGGAGCAGTCTAAGATGTCCCGAGAGGGCCCCTGTAGCGGTCCGAGACGCCCTGCGCGACTTCCCTCCCCGTTTGCTCCCCTGCTCCCTGTGCCCCTTCCTCCTCGCTCCTGCTTCTCGCCTCCTCCATCCGCTCGGGTCAAGACTCTCTCGTTGCTCCTCCTTCCCGTCCTTCCTGCACCTCCTCAGAGTGCCCGACAAGGCCCCCGAGGGAAACGGACAGCACGGGAACCGATGTAGTGAGCCTTGCTTGCCTCATCCTCTTTGCTTTTTTTCTTTCTGGCGAACCATGCCAGCTTGTGCTCCAAGGTCAGGGTTAGTAGCGATCTCAGGTTCGATCTATGTATCCTTATGCCTCCTGCGTTCTCCGTCCTCCGACGTTCTCATGCCTCCTGCACGTGTTCAGCCAGCCGGCGTGACGGCCTTTGCATTATGTTACGAGGCGGCAGATTACCAACGCCACAATCTCACCCTTTGCCGCCCATTTTGTCATAGCTTCCTCCCTTTCTCGTGTTGCCCTTGTGGTGCCGCCTGCTCAAGACATGAGTTCGAACATTTGCACATCTTTCGTGCGTTGGCTTGGGAGGGTCCGCGCAACAGGTGACATCTAGTCTTCGTCTGAAGGTCCGCGGAAGCGGCATCAGATCGACGGAAGCCGGCCGAGAAGTGAAGGCAGACCATCCAACAGACGGTCAGACCACTGCACGCATGCTTTCCGTAGTTTTCCGTAATGTGCCGGCAGTGATGTGCCCGCGGTCGCTGGTACGAGAATGGTCTTGTGCAGGCTTAGACAATGTAGCTCGACAGGGCCCCCTGGCCCTCGTGCGGCCCACTATTCCCCCCCCCCCCCTAGCAAACTTTTGACATGGCGGGTGCACACCTGCGGTCAGCGCCCAGTCCTGGCACAGGCGTGTCACGGCCTCCAAGGCGGGCCAAGACGCACCCAAGATGGTCCGATACGACCAGACAAGACCAGACAAGGCAAGAAGAGACGAGACACGACAAGACGAAACAAGAATTGAGAGGATCCGCCAATACAGCCTTCAGATCATCTCAAGGTTGCCACAAGACGCCCCGAGAGCGACCGCCTAGAGGCCAAGTTGTTTTATGGGGAAATCAATTCTGTGTGTTCTCTCGCTTTCTCGCTCCCGAAGCGCTCTTGAGACTTCAGGATGGCCTTCAGACGGCTCCAGCACAGCTCCATTGCGGGCCCATGAGAGGCCCAAGATGGCCCCAGATGCTACCAAGAGGGTCTCAAGAGAGTCCAAGAGGGCTTCAAGCCGCTCCAAAGCAAGGGCCAGCAATGGGCGCCCAAGCTGGTCCAAGTGGCACTCCGAGGCACCAAGAGGTACCCAAGAGCCTACAAGAGGCTGTTCAGAGGCCCCCACTTCGCTGGGTGGGGGAGGGGGAAGTCGTCCAGCGTGGGGTAGCGAGGGCCAAACGGTAAGCGCCTCCCTATGGGGAAGGATGGGGTTGAGGAACGAACTCCCGAAGCCACCTGCGCCCAGAGGTCCAATGGGTTTATGAGTGTAATGGTGATTACGGTACTGATCCTGATTATGATGATGACGGCGATGCTGAGCATGATGATGCCAGTAATGATGACGGCGTGAGAAAGTGGAGGGTCATGACAGTTGGGCGTGTGTGTATCGTTTCCAGCAGCCCTCGGGGCGGACGTCTCCATTTGCTGGACCACTTTGCCTCATACGTGCCCGCTTTAATCTTCCGAGAGGTAGCAGCCAAGTTGCAGTCGGAGGCAGCAGAAGCTAAGGCGGAGGCTGAGTCCAGCGCGCAGGCGCTAGCGGCTGCTGAGGCCAAGGTTGTGGCTGAGGCAGAGAGGGCGGATGCTCTTGCGAAGGCCAAGGAGGAAACGGAGGCCAACGCAAGGGCGGAAGCAGATGCCAAGGCAAAGGAGTACAAGAGGAAAATGGCGAAGGCTCTGGCAGATGCTGCGGAGGAAACCGAAGCCAGGGTGAAGGCGGAAGTCGATGCCAAGGCCTTGGCATATGCTGAGGGGGAGGCCAAGACGCAGGAACAGGTTGTGAAAGCTAGGGAGGAAGCGGAGGCCAAGGCAAAGGTGGATGCCGATGCCAAGGCAAAGGAATACCAGAGGAAGCTGGCGAGGGCGCTTGTGAATGCCGGGGAGGAAGCCGACGCCAGGGTGAATGCAGAAGCCGCCGCCAAGGCAGAGGCGAAAGCGGAGGCGGAGAAGGCCGCGGCGGAGGCGGCCGCTCTCGCAAAGGCTAAGGAAGAAGCTGAGGCCAAGGCTAAGGAGGAAGCAGATGCCAGGGCAAAGGAGTACGACGAGAGGTTGGCGAAAGAGGTGGCAGATGCCAGACTGGACGTGGAGGCCGCCAAAGCAGAAGCTAAGGCCGAGGCGGAGGCGAAGGCTGTAGCGGAGGCTGCCAGGGAGGCAGCCGAGGCCCAGGTGGATGCGCTGACCGCCAAGGCGGAAGCGGAGGCCAAGGCGCTGGACGAGGCCGAGGCGGCAGCCAAGGCTGCAGCACAGGAAAAAGAGGCAGCACTGGCCAAGGCGAAGGCGGACGCAGATGCCAAGGAAAGGGAGTTTAAGAGGAAGCTGGCGAAGGCGCTTGCAGATGCCGCGGAGGAAACCGACTCCATTCTGAAGGCGGAAGCCGAGACGAAGGCACTGGAGGAGGCCCAAGCGGAGGCGAAGGCTGCGGCCGCGGCCAGGGAGGATGCAGAGGCCAAGGCGAAGGCGGCGGCAGATGCCAGGGAAGAGGAGTACAAGAGCAAGTTGGCGAAGGCGATGGCAGATGCCGCGGAGGAAGCCGATGCCAGGGTGAAGGCGGAACTCGAGGCCAAGGTGGATGAGGAGCGCCAGGCGGAGGCGACGGCTGTAGCGCAGGCTAAGGCTGAAGTGGAGGTCAAGGCGAAAGCGGAAGCAGATGCAAAGGCGAAGGAATTCGACGCGCAGCTGTTGAAGGTGCTGTCAGCTGTCGGGGCCGAATCGCACATACACCTCGTATTCCCATTCCCACTTCCACTGCCGCTCCCACTCTCGCAGGGGAGTGATGAAGACGGTGATGGGGGGCGGGGAGGAGGAACATCAGCAGCGGAGTATGAGGAGGGGTGATGATGACGATGATGGTTGTGGTGTTGATGATGGTGATGGTGAACCTGATGATGCTGATGATGAAGATGGTAATGGGGATGTGCTGCTGCTGATGATGCTGATGATGGCAATAATGCTGATGATTGTGACAATGCTGAAATTGATGTTGATGACGCTGATGCTGACGATGACAATGCTGCTGATGATGAAGCTGATGCTGGTGGTGGTGATGATGATGATGATGATGATGCTGCTGACGGGCAGGATGCACATCAGACGGGAAGTATTCGTAGCAGGGGTGATCATGCCAATGATGATGCTGCTGCTGATGCTGATAGTGTTGATGTTGATACTGATGATGATGCTGCTGGTGACGATGATGTTGATGCTGCTGCTGCTGCTGATTATGACGAGGATGATGATCATTCGGATGACGGTGATGCTGATGCTGATACTGGTGATGATGATGCTGATGATGAAGATGACGCTGATGATTATGATGATGCTGGTATGCTGATGATGACGGTGATGATGATGATGATGATGCTGATGCTGCTGGTGATGACGACGATGCTGCTAACGATGATGGAGCTGATGCTGCCGATGATGATGCTGATGATGATGATGATTATGATGCTGATGATGATGATGATGATGGTGCTGATGGTGGTGGTGGTGGTGGTGGTGATGCTGCTGCTGATGGTGATGATGGCGATTGTGATGATGACGATGATGCTGATGATGGTGCTGCTGATGAGGCTGATGGCTATAACGATGACGACGACGGGGATCAAGCTATTGCTGATGACTACGATTCGTAGTGACTACGATGGTGATGCTGCTGATGCTGATGATGATGCTGCTGCTGATGATGACGCTGACGGTGATGCTGATCATAATGCTGGTGATGACGACGGCGATGGTGGTGCTGATGATGATGATGATGATGATGATGATGATGATGATGATGATGATGATGGTGATGTTGATAATGATGCTGATGCCGATGAAGCTGATAAGGCTAATAATGATGCTGCTGATGATGATGATGCTGATGCTGATGCCGATGCTGATGATGATTCTGCTTCTGATGAGGATGCTGTTGTCGGTCATGATGAGGATGGCGATAGTGATGCCGATGATGACGATGATGATGATGATGACGACGATGATGATGATGATGATGATGATTACGCTGATGCTGTTGATGCTGATGCTGATGATGAGGATGATGATGATTACAATGATGATGATGATGATGATGATGATGATGATGATGATGATGATGGCGATGCTGACGATGCTCATTATTATGATGCTGATGATGACGATGATGCTGATGACGATGATGATGATGCTGCTGCTGATGATGATGATGATGCTGATGATGATGATGATGATGATGATGATGATGATGATGATGATGATGATGATGAGCATGATGAGCATGACGATGACGCTGACAATGATGACGGATTGTCTGGTGCTGATGCTGATGCTGCTGCTGCTGCGGCTGATGATGTTAATGATGCTGATGGTGCTGCTGCTGCTGACGATGATGATGATGGTGGTGATGGTGCTGGTACTGCTGGTGGCGATTATGTTATTGTTCATGTTGATGGTCATGCCCATGATGATGGTGATGCTAATGATCTTGAGGTTGGTGGTGCTGGAGGAGGAGTCGAAAAATGGCAATTGGAGGAGGAGGAGGAGGAGGTGGTGATGTTGTTGTTGATGATGATGATGATGATGATGATGATGATGATGATGATGATGATGATGATGATGATGATGATGATTATGCTGATGCTGCTGATGATGATGCTGCTGATGATGCTGATGATGATGTTGATGATTATGTTGCTGCTTCTGCTTAGAAGAAGGAGAAGGAGAAGGAAAAGGAGAAGGAGAAGGAGGAGGAGGAGGAGGAGGAGGGTGAGGAGCAGGAGGTGGAGGAGGAGGATGAGGAGGAGGAGGAGGAGGATGGAGCGCAATGTTTTTCCGGTGGCTCTGGTTGCAGACGTTCCCACGGGCTGGGCGGTGATGCTCCGTTTTGGCCGTCTCTCGGGAGGTGGCGACCACGCTGAAGTCGGAGGCGGATGCCAAGGTCATGAGGCGAAGAAACACACAGACACAATTCATCGTCAATCCCAAGGAAAATAGGGGGAAATCTGTGAAGTGGAGGGGAAGACGAACATCCAGGAAGTCGAAAACATATGGTGGAACCCTTCGGGTTTTGTGTCTATTTATTTGTGTGTCCCAGGGCCCCTTTGCAAGGCGGAGGCGGTGGCAGCCAAGCTGGAGGCGAAGGTGGCGGAGGCCGAGGCAGAGGCCGAGGCCAGGGCGAGGGCGCTGGCGGCTGCGGAGGCCAACGCGCGCACAGAGGCCGAAGCTGTGGCGGAGGCCACAGCAGCGGCGGAGGCAATCGGCGTCACTCCAACGTACTAATACGATGCGTGCGTCGCCCCCAATGTCGGGGAAATGTAATACTTGAGAACGCCAGAACTCGGGCTCGCCGACGCTTTTTGACGAGCACGTCCTGGATTTTGACGGTCCACTTTTCGTGGGATGTTTGCAGCGGGAGGTCAAGTGAAGTTTCAGATTGGGTCTCGTCATTTTCACGATTGCCCCGTCAAGCCAACCTGAGTCCCCCGAATCCGAGTTTTGCGCCTCCCCGACAAAGGGGTGACGCGCGCACTGATAAATCTTGTAGTGTATGCTTGGTGGTCGGCGCTTTCTGGCGGTACCGCTCGGGAAACGGTATACTGCAAGATGGTTCTACTATATGCTCGGATTGGACGCACGCCTCCGAGGAGGACGCATAGTACTAGTATGTCCTTTTGCGTCTCAGGCCAGGGCGATGGCGGATAAGGTCGCCATGGCGAAGGCGGTGGCCGAGGCGGAGGCAACTGCCGTAGCACAGGCTTCAGAGGAGGAAAAGGTACCGATGCCGCTATGCTTCGCCCGTTTTCTTCTTTTGGGGCCTCCTTGGAGGCTCTCGTCGCCACCGCTTGGATCCGCCTCGACATCCTGGTCAGAACGAACCCCGCGAGAGGTCCTGGCCGGGGCGTTGCGTTATGGGTACATTTTTGATTTCCCCAAGGCTAGGGCGGAAGCAGAGGCCAAGGCGAAGGTGGACGCAGATGCCAAGGAGACGGAGTACAGGAGGAAGTTGGCGAAGGCGCTTGCAGATGCCGCGGAAGAGACTGATTCTATGCTGAAGGCTGAACTCGAGGCGAAGGCGCTGGAGGAGGCCGAGGCGGCGGCGAAAGCGGCAGCCACGGCCAAGGAGGAGGCGGAGGCCAAGGCGAAAATGGAGGCAGACGCCAAGGAAGAGGAGTACAAGAGAAAGTTGTCGAAGGCGCTGGCAGATGCCGCGGAAGAGGCCGATGCACGGGTGAAGGCGGAAGTTGAAGCCATGACGATGGAGAAGGCCGAGGAGGAGGCACGGGCTGTAGCAGCAGCTAAGGAGGAAGTGGAGGCCAAGGCGAAGGCAGAAATGGATGCCGAGGCAAAGGCGGATGCCGAAGCGGAGGCGAAAGCTGTGGCTCAGGCCAAGGCAGACGCGGAGGCTAAAGCGAAGGCGGAGGCAGACGCCAAGGAAGAGGAATACCAAAGGAAGCTAGCGAAGGAGCTGGCAGATGCTAGGGCGGAGGCAGAGGCCAGGGTGAAGGCGCAAGCCGAGGCCCTGGCGAAGGAGGAGGCCGAGGCGGAAGCGAAGGCTGCAGCGGAGGCCAAGGAGGAAGCGGAGGCCAAGGCTAAGGCGGAAGCTGATGCCAAGGAGAAGGAGTACCAGAGGAAGCTGGCGAAAGCGCTGTCAGATGCTGGAGAGGAGGCCGACGCCAAGTTGAAGGCCGAGGCTCAGGTTCAAAAGGAGCACGACGAGCAGCTTGCGAAGGAGCTGGCAGATGCTAAGGCGGAGGCAGAAGCGGCCAACGCGAAGGCGGTAGCGGAGGCCAAGGCGATGGAGGAAGGTGATGCCAAGGCGAAGGCGGAGTACGAGGAGAGGTTGGCAAAGGCTCTAGCTGATGCCAGGATGGAGGCGGACGCCAGGGTGAAGGCGGAAGCTGATGCCAAGGAGAAGGAGTACCAGAGGAAGTTGGAGAAGGCACTTGCAGATGCCGCGGAGGAAGCCCAGGCCAGGGAGAAGGCGGAAGCCGAGGCCATGGCGAAGGAGGAGGCCGAGGTGGCGGCGAAGGCTGCAGCGAAGGCCAAGGAGGAAGCGGAGGCCAAGGCGCTGTCGGAAATGGACGCCAAGGAAAAAGAGTTTGGCTTGCAGCTGGCGAAGGTGCCGGCAGATGCCAGGGAAGAAACCTACCACACCCACTCTACCTACTTCACCTACTTCTCTTAAGGTCTAACCTCCTGACTTCTACCTTCTACGAGCTACATACCACGGTGTATATTTGTATATTCCGAGTTATCAGGCAATGTGTTGCTTCGCCTGACTCGTCTACTTCTGCTCTCACTCATATTTCGGCTCCTGCTCCTGCTCCTGCGTGCACTCCTTCCCCTTCTCTTGTTTATGCTACTACGCGCCGCGCCTGCTCCCCGCCCTGATCATGTTCCTGATGCTGCTTCTGCTCCTGACCGTGTGGCCGCCCGTCCTCCTGCTACCGCTCGCAGTCCTCCCGTTCTCCCTGTCTCCCCTCGCACTGCTCCTCCTCTTCTTCCTCCTCCTCCTCGCCCTCCCCCTCCTCCAATCCACGCGTGCTGCACGGTGCTCCTGGGGCGGGCGAGCACGGAGTGCCTACAGGCAGGGAAATCTGCCCGCAAGGATGAGGATGAGGATGAGGAAGAGGAAGAGGGGGAGGAGGAGGAGGAGGAGGTGGAGGAGGAGGTGGAGGAGGAGGAGGAGGCGGAGAAGGAGGCGGAGGAGGAGGAGGAGGAGGAGGAGGAGGAGGAGGAGGAGGGAGGCGAGGATTTCGGGAGGGGGGGAGGAGATGGGGGGGTGGGATGGAGGGGTCAGCATGTGGGAGGGAGAAGCAGGGGGAGTTGAGCGAGGGAACGGATGAGGACCAGGATGAGGATGCGGATGAGGAGGAGGAGGACGATGATGCTGATGATGATGGTGATGCTGATGATGATGCTGATGATGATGATGATGATGATGCTCACGATGTTGGCGATGCTGAGGATGCTGCTGCTGCTGATGATGATGCTGATGATGCTGGTGATGATGGTGCTGATGATGATGACGATTACGATGGTGATGCTGCTGATGATGATGACGATGGTGATGATCATGATCATGCTGATGCTGCTGATGATAAGGATGATGCTGATGCTGATGATGATGCTGCTGCTGCTGACGCGATGATGATGCTGAGGAGGATGAGGAGGAGGAAGAGGAGGAAGAGGAGGAAGATGACGAGGAGGAGGAGGAGGCGGAGAGGGAGAAAGGGAGGTAGAAAGATGAGGATGAGGATGAGGATGATGAGGAGGAGGAGGAGGAGGAGGAGGAGGATGAGGAGGGGGGGCGACGCGGAGGAGCGGGCAGAGGGAAGGATGAGAGGGATGGGCAGGGGGAAATAGATGACAACGACGACGACGATGCTGCTGCTGCTGATGATGATGATGATGCTGATGATGATGTTGATGATGCTGATGATGATGATGATGCTGATGATGATGCTGATGATGATGATGCTGATGGTAATGACGATGATGCTGATGCTGATGCTGGTGATGATGATGCTGCTGATGACGATAACGATGGTGCTGATGCTGGCAGTGATGCTGATGCTGATGACGATGACGATGGCGATGAGGCTGATGATGATGCTGCTGATGATGTTGGCGACGCGGATACCGATGCTGCGGATGTTGATTCTGCTGATGATGAAGATGCTGGCGGTGATGCTGATGCTGATGATGCTGATGCTGCGATCACGGCTTATACTGATACTGCTGAGGCTGATTTTGATGAAGCTGATGATGTTGACGATGCTGATGCTGGTGATGATAAGGCCGATGCTGCTGATGATGCTGTTGCTGATGATGCGATTGATGACGATGATGCTGATGCTGATACTGATGCCGATGCTGGTGCTGATGGTGTTGTCGACCATGGTGGTGGTGATGGTGATGACGCTGGCGCTGATTATGATGCTGATGATGCTGATGCTGCTGATTATATTGATGATAATGCTGATGATGATGCTGCTGCTGATGATGATTATGCTGATGATGTATACGATGCTGCTGATGATGATGCTGATGACGACGATGATGATTCTGACGTTGATGATGATGCTGCTGATGATGATTGTGATGCTGATGTTGATGATGCTGATTCTGATGCGGGTGATGATGCTGCTGATGATGTTGATGCTGATGCTGGTGCTGATGCTGTTGATGATGACGACGATAACGAAGATTATGATGATGGTGATGATGATACTTATGATCATGATGCTGCTGCTGATGCGGGTGATGATGCTGCTGATGATGATGATGATGCTGATGCTGATGCTATGCTGCTGCTGCTGCTGATGATGATGACGATGACGACGATGATGATGATGATGATGATGATGATGATGATGATGATGATGATGATGATGATGATGATGATGATGATGATGATGCTGATGATGATGCTGCTGGTGATGATGGTGATGGTGATGGTGATGGTGATGGTGACAGTGCTGCTGGTAATGGTGATGGTGATGATGATGAGGATAAGGAGAAGGAGGAGGAGGACAAACGCGCCCAAACGCTCAAAAATCCTTGACCCTCGAATTTCGAGCCCTCCTCCGTGCGGAGGAGGAGGAGGAGTAGGAGGAGGAGGAGGAGGAGGAGGAGGAGGAGGAGGAGGAGGAGGAGGAGGAGACGGAGGAGGGGGAGGAGGAGAGGAGGAGAGGGAGGAGGACGAGGAGGGAGACTAGATGTAACATTTCCATCAGGCGGCCAGTTTCGCCCTACTTTCGCGTTTGTCTGTCGAAATCAGGCGGGGTTAGGACGAGGATAAATCCATTCCAGACCGTTCCAGGGACCCTCTAGGGAAGGCCGCGGCGCTCGATACATCCTCCAGAGCCGCTGAATCTCAGAGATTCTCGATTCACCTCACCCGATTTTATCCTCGGCCTGGCTTTGCTTTAGTCAGGTAACGGACACGCTGAAGGCGGAGGCAGAAGCAATCACGGTGGAGGCTGAGGCAAGGGCTAAGGCCAGCGAGGCAGCGCAGGCCAATGCGCTGACGGAGGCCCTGGCCGTGGCGGAGGCAGAGAAGGCGCAGGCTGCAGCAGAGGCGGCGGCAGCGGCGGAGGCCAGGGCGAAAACGGAAGCGGACGCAAGGGCCAAGGAGTACGAGGAGAGGTTGGCAAAGGCCCTCGCAGATGCTAGGGCGGAGGCAGAGGCCAGGGTGAAGGCGGAAGCCGAGGCCCTGGCGAAGGAGGAGGCCGAGGCGGAAGCGAAGGCTGCAGCAACGGCCAAGGAGGAAGCTGAGGCCAAGGCTAAGGCGGAGGCTGATGCCAAGGAGAAGGAGTACCAGAGGAAGCTGGCGAAAGCGCTGGCAGATGCCGGAGAGGAGGCCGACGCCAAGTTGCAGGCCCAGGCTCGGGTTCAGAAGGAGCACGACGAGCAGCTTGCGAAGGAGCTGGCAGATGCTAAGGCGGAGGCAGAAGCGGCCAACGCGAAGGCGGTTGCGGAGGCCAAGGCGATGGAGGAAGGTGATGCCAAGGCGAAGGCGGAGTACGAGGAGAGGTTGGCAAAGGCTCTAGCTGATGCCAGGATGGAGGCGGACGCCAGGGTGAAGGCGGAAGCCGAGGCCAATGCGAAGGAAAGGGCCGAGGTGGAGGCGAAGGCTGCAGCAGCGGCCAAGGAGGAAGCGGAGGTCATGGCTAAGGTGAAAGCTGATGCCAAGGAAAAGGAGTACAGGATGAAGCTGGCGAAGGCGCTGGCAGATGCCGGGGAGGAGACTGACGACATTGTCAAGACTATGCAGGAGGCGAATGCCAAGGCGAAGGCGGAGGCGGATGCCAAGGTAGAGGAGTCCGACGCGAAGCTGAGCAAGGCGCTGGCAGACGCCAGCGCTGAAGCTGAGGCCTCCTCCTTCTCCTCCTTCTCCTCCTTCTCCGCCTCCCCCTCCTGCTCGTCTTCCTCCCCCTTCGCTCTCCTCCCCGCACTTTCGCCGCTGCTGCTCCTCCTCGTCGTCCCTCCTCCTCCTCCTCCTCCTCCTCCTCCTCCTCCTCGCCCTCCTCCTCCTCCTCTTCCTCCTCCTCCTCCTCTCCTCCGCCTCCGCCTCCCCCTCCCCCTCCCCCTCCCCCTCTCTCCTGCTGCTGCTCCTCCGCGTCCTCCCACCCTCCCTCCCCTCCTCCTCCCCCCTTTCCTTGCCCTTTGCCCCCTCCCCCCCCATCCCCCTGGGCCTTCGGCCCGCAGCTCGGGCGTCTGGCCCGCCGCTCGGGACGATCCGGGCACTCGGCGAGTGTCGTCGGTGAGGCGCAGCTGCTGGCAAGAGCATCCCGAGGGGAGAAGCCCTGCAAGAGCCGGCGCAGGCCTCGGCCCGCCCCAGGAGAACTCGGGTCGGACGGAAGGGGGGATGGGGGAAAGGGGGGGATGTACGGACTCTGCTGCCTGCAGCTGGTTTCGGCCTCGCCGCCGGGCGCCTTTCCTCGATACACTGGCGCCCCTCGGCGCCGGGAGGCGCTTGGAAAACCAGCTACGAGAGCTGCTTCGCTACTCCCCCCCGCTTCCTGCACATATCAGAAATCTTCAAAAGACGCGTCTAGTTTTCGTGGACTCCAATTTTCGCTCAAGAAAGTCAAGGCTCTGGTCTGGGCCCTGGGCGTTTTCTTGGAGCTTCGCTTCCTCGTGGAGTGCTCGTAGATCTGGATCTGGACTGCCGCTCAAGGACACGCTCAGAGTGAAACCGATTTTCTCAGCGCAAGACTTTCTTAACTCTGAGCTGGGATGTATCCCCTCGCCCCTTTCGTCAGACCCGGGACGCCGAGGCCCGAAGGAAGGCGGAGGCCGAGGCCGACCAGGCCGAGGCGCTCGCGAAGGCGACGGCGGAGGCGCGGGCCCGGGCAGAGGAAGCGCAGGCCGGGCGCCCCCTCCCTAGCGGCGGCGTGGGGCGGGGGGCAGGCGGTCGGGCAGGGGCGGGTCCGTTTTTTTTTCTTCGTTTTGTATTGTTTCCAATATATATATATGTATATATATGTATATCTATATTTATACATATATATGTATGTATGTATATGTATATGTATATGTATATGTATATGTATATGTATATGTATATGTATATGTATATGTATATGTATATGTATATGTATATGTAGCTTCTGGCGCCCCCCCTCGAGGGTGGCGATGGCGATCCTGCGCATTGGGTGGGCGGCGGCCTGTGCCCCCCCTTCACGCGCCGGCGCTCGCGCGCATGCCCTGGCGACCGCAGCGCGCCCCCAGCCCCGACGTGCCCCACCCCGCGCCAGGCGCCACCGCTGCCCGCCCTCCCCCTCCCCCCCTCCGGGGAACGGGAAGCGGACGGGGAACGCACTGCGGATTCCAAACTGAGTGGGAAGCGGATTCCAAACTGAGTGCTGCTGGGGAAACGTTTCAACGCTTGACGCCTTCGTTTCATTTTCGGCGGGCTGGTGGATCCGGGGCATGTGATCTTCCAGTAAAAAAAAAACTCCCCCCCTCCGGGGAACGGCCGCTTCCTTGCAATCGCGACGAGCACAGCAATCCTCTCGGACGGGGCCTTCCAACTCTTCGCGCCGCCGGGGCCCAGATTTCGGACGGCCCCTTTGTTCAGAGAGGGGGGCGTTGTTTTTTTTCCAGCTCTTCTCCCGTGGTGGCCCCCCGCTCCGGGGCCCACAGAGCGGGATATCCGGGGTGGAAGGGGGGCGGGGGCTCCGGGGTTTCGGTGGCCTCTCGGTGGCCTCTTGGGCCCTCCTGTGGTCTGATTTGGACCTCGTGGGGGGCCTCTTGGATTCTTGTTGGGGGCCCCTTGGGGGCCTGCTGGCGGTCTCGGGGATCATCTTGGGACGGAGGGCTCTAGGTATCGGTTCGTGCTGCCCCTCAGGGGCCTCTCTTGGGTCCCTCTTGGGCCGTCTGGGGGGCTTCTTGGGCAGCTTTGGGGACCTCTTGGGATGTCTTCGGGACCTCTTGCGGGCCTCTTGAGGCGATCTTGGGGGATATTCCCCAAACAGTGCTTGCACCTAGGGGTTCTTACTCTTACATCGTCTAAGAGGAACTGGGCCTGTGTGTCGGTCCAGCTGGTTTGTTGCCGCCGTCGGCGCCCGTTGCCGCCGTCCGTCGCCGCTCCAATGTCCCTGGGTGTCGGTCGCCGTGCTTGTTGTAGCCGCCGCGCCGTTGCATTTGTCCCCGTTGCATTGCAACCGATTGCAATCGATTGCACCACATCTATTGCACCACAAAGCTTGCATCACATAGCTTGCACTATTCCTATTCGTAAATTTTGATGAGGCCGGGGACCGTGGAAAGAGCGCCCCCCCCCTGACCCTCCCCCCAACGAATTTCGAATCTACGGGCCTGTCTTGCGCCTTGGGTTTTCTCTGATTTTCGACTCTCTGGGCCCTCTTGGGCCAGCCTTAGGCCTCTTTGGGGCTCGTCTTGGGACTCATTTGGAGCCGTCCTGGGGCTATCTCGACGCCTCAAGAGCCGATCGTAAGCGAAAAGGCGACAAGACCAAACACATTGCTTTTCCAATGGGTTTTCATTGATTTTCAATTCTCTGGGCATTCTTCGGCCAGCCTTAGGCCTCTTTGGGGCTCGTCTGGGGACTCATCTGGAGCCGTCCGAGGGCTATCTTGACGCCACAAGAGCCGATTGTAAGCGAAAAGGCGAGAAGGCCAAAAAGATTGATATTCAAATGGGTTTTCATTGGATTCCAATTTTTTGGGTCTTCTTCGGCCAGCCTTGGGCCACTGTGGGTCTCGGCTTGCGCCTTTCTGGAGCCATCCTGGGGCTATCTTGACGCCTCCCGAGCCGACCGGAAGCGAAAAGGCGAGAAGATCGAAAGCATTGCCTTTCCAATTATTTGTGAATTTGATTTTCGAACCTCCGTGCCCTCTAGGACTAGTCTGTGCCCTCTTTGGGGCTCGTCTGGTGACTCATTTGGAGCCGTCCTGGGCCTATCCTGATGCCTCAAGAGCCAATCAGCAGCGACAAGGTGAGAAGACCAAAAACATTCATTTTCCGATGGGTTACTACGGATTTTCAATTCTTTGGGCCTTCTTCGGCCAGCCTTGGGCCTCTGGGCCTCGGCTTACGCCTCTCTGAGGCCATCTTGGGGTCATCTTGACGCCTCTCGAGCCAACCGGAAAGAAAAGGCGAGAAGGCCGAACACATTGCTTTTCCAATGGGTTTTCTCTGATCTCCGACTCTCCGGGCCCTGTTGAGCCAGCCTTGGGCCTCTTTTGGGCTCGTCTAGGGACTCATTTGGAGCCGTCCTAGGGCCATCTTGTCGCCTCAAGAGCCGATTGTAAGCGAAAGGGTTAGAAGGCCGAAAACATTGACTTCCCAATGGGTTTTCATTGAATTTCAATTCTTTGGGCCTTCTTGGGCCAGCCTTGGGCCTCTTTGGGGCTCGAAGCCCGCAGCCCAGCAGCGCGCATGCCGAAAATAGCATGTTCTGTAGGAGGTGAAGGAAGAGGAGGAGGAGGAGGAGGAGGAGGAGGAGGAGGAGGAGGAGGAGGAGGAGGAGGAGGAGGAGGAGGGAGGAGGAGGAGGAGGAGGGAGGGAGGAGGAGGAGGAGGAGGAGGAGGAGGAGGGGGAGGAGGAGGAGGAGGAGGAAGAGGAGGAGGAGGAGGTAGAGGAGATGGAGGAGGAGGAGAAGGAGGAGGAATTAGAGGAAGAGGGGGAGAGAGGAGAAAGAGGATGATGATGAGGAGGAGCATGAGGAGGAGGAGGAGGAGGAGGAAAAGGGGGAGGAGGAGAAAGAGGAGGAGGATGCCCTGCTTCATGCTAGCCCAACATCCACTCGCCTGAGACACATTCGCGCCTCTGGGCCCCGAACCGACCTGAGATGGCCTCAGCTGGTGTTGTCCAGTCGCTGCCGCTCAGGAACTCCTCACCCATTCCGACTTGGCGGTGGCCCGCCCCATGTCCACGCGCACGCACGCTGCCTTCATTCGAAACTTCGAGGAACAAAGTGCATGGCGCGAATCGCCTATGCAGTCTTGTATATATATATATATGTATATATATTGCACCACAACGGTTGACCACATAGATTGCACCGCTGATCTTACACCACATATATGGCACAACGCAGATTGCACTACATAGCCCACACCCCATAGAGCGGACCAGATATATTGCACCACCTAGCTTGCACCACAAAGCTCAGACCACATAGGTGAGTACGTTAGCTACACATTGCGCAATTTAGCTCACACCACACATATAGCATTGCATAGGTTGCACCACTTCGATTGCACACCACATAGACTGAATCACATAGCTTTCACCACAAGTATTGCACTGCGTGGGTTGCACCACGTAGCCTGCATCACATGTATTACCACACGCATGTATACATTTAAACATATATACATGTATATCGGTTGTCACACACATTGATTTACTTATGTTTATGTTGAACCAATTACAAGTATTCCCCATGCAGTGCTTGCACTTGGGGCTTCGCATTTGTGTTCTCAGGAACTCGGCCGTGTCTTCGGTCTGGTGGCTATGTGGCCGCCGTCGCCGCCCCGTCGCCACCTCGCTGCCGCCCGTGGTCTGGGCCATGTTTTCGGTCTGGCGGCTATTTGGCCGCCGTCGCCTCCCCGTCGCCGCCGTCTAGCACGACAAAAAACATGGCGCGTGCGGCACGTTTTTTTGATCGTTCACAACATAGATTCCACCACATAGGTTGCACAATATGTATTGTATATCCACACAGAGTGCACCACACACACACATATATATATATATATTGCACAACGTAGATTGCACACCGTGTGTCGCACGATCCCATCGATTGCGCAACATCTATTGCGCAAAGTAGGTTGCAAGATTTTCGTAGTGTCGCGCCTGTGGCGCGTGTCTTGACCGATAGCAGCATCGATTGCACTACAGATGCACAGCATAGGTTTCACTACTTATATAGCATACCGTATACCGCACAACGTAGACTGCATCACATAGATTGAACTCCCTACGTTGCGCTGCATATACATAGCGCCGCATATGTTGCATAACACAGATTTCATTACCCAGATTGCACATCATATACTGCTAGATACACACTGTTCGGGGCCCACGCTGGCTATCACACACGCATGTATGTATACATATATATAACATATATATCACATTTTCACACCCATACGTTTTAGTTTGTGTGTATGTATGTATGCATGTCTGCCTGTCTGTCTGTCTGTCTGTCTGTCTGTATGTATGTTAATATATGTATGTATGTATGTATGTATGCATGCATGCATGCATGCATGCACGCATGTATGCATGCATGTATGTATGTATGTATGTATGTATGTATGTATGTATGTATGCATGCATGTATGTATGTATGTATGTATGCATGTATGCATGCATGTATGTATGTATGTATGTCTGTCTGTCTGTATGTATGTATGTATGTATGTATGTATGTATGTATGTATGTATGTATGTATGTATATAGTTTCTCGGCCTCTCGGCCTCTCGATCTCTCGGCCTCTAAGTATTTTGTTTTTTTGTCTCTCTCTCTCTCTTTCGCTGAGGTGGAGGGGGGAGGGCACTGACATCAGGTCACGACGCCAACTTGGCCTTGGACGGTCCAGCACGCCAGCGGCGTTTGAACTCACACCATATCTCATCGAGCCCCCTTCGGGCAGGACGAGGGGTTCAGTGCGGCGCGCCAGAGGGGAGAGTGAGAAGGAGGATGAGGAGGAGGACGAGGACGAGGAGGAGGAGGAGGAGGAGGAGGAGGATGACGAGGAGGAGGAGGAGGAGGAGGAGGAGGAGGAGGAAAAAGAGGAGGAGGAGGAAGAAGAGGAGGAGGAGAAGGAGGAGGGCGAACTGCATGCATGTGCGGCGGCGTGGCAGAGGGAGGAGGAAGGAGATCTGTAGTTCACCAGTGCTTTAGAATCTTCCGTTCGACCAGCGTTTAGACTCGGGTGCAGTTCACTGGTTTAGGCTGGTGTTCAAGCCCTACCAGGACGGGCGCACATACACACACACACACTAATATGCATGCGAGAAACCAAGGTAACCAAGAGACCAAGAGCACGGGACGAATAATACATGTGCAGCATGTTTGTATTGTTGTTTATTGCTGGCCTTTGCTTCGTGTCTCCGCTACTCTTCGAGATGAAGTGGGGAAGGAGGCAGGGAAGGGGAGGCGGGTGCGATCGGTGGACGCCGACAAGGTAGGCGCTCTGGCCGTGGGCGTGGTCGTCATGACGGTAGTCGTGCTGGTTTTGGCCGTTGTGGTTTTGGTAGTGGTGATCATGGTCGTGGCGGTGGCCGTTGTGGTGGTGGTCGTGTATTTTATGGGGTCGGCCATGGCGAACTGCCGCGCTGCCCCTTGAGGGGCAGGGGCTCTTGCAGGTGCGACCTCCCTCCCGCCTGGCCAGAGCTTGCCCAGCTCTGGGCTGGCGCGCTCTCGCTTGTTTTTTTTTTTTTGTTTTTTTTTTTTTTTCTCTCTCTCTCTCTCTCTCTCTTTCTCTCCGTCTCCCTCTCCCGGGCACCGGAGCCCCAAACATTTCTGCAACAGTTGCGCTCGTGCGCGCGTGGGCGTGCGCGATCGGTCCAGTCACTGCCGCGCGTCTTCAGTGCGTGACCCTTCCGCTGCGTCTTGCTGCTCCGCGGAGCGTTGCAAGTCACCTTTCAGCGCTCGGCCCCAGCAGTCCCGGTCAGCGACTCTGCCCCTTGGGCGGCACCAGCGCTGGCGCACGGCACCCGCGGGGGCTCGGTGCTGGACTGCACAGGAGACGCTGCACGCCATCTGCCGTGCAGTCGGACCGAGGTGCAAGATCGAGGTCGAATCGGGGAGGGAGCCCTCATGTTCTCCGTGCCCGCTGGATGCTCCTGTGCACCCTGGGGGAGGGCACCCTCGAATGCTCTTCGGTCTGGGCCAGCGGAGGGTCCCATGCTCTTGAAGGGTGCCCTTCCTGCCCTGGGTCCGAGCGTAGCCTGCGCTCTTGCGGGTGGTGGCAGTTCCGCTTGCGGTGCCCGCCCGCTCCGCCGCCCCAGGGGGGGCTTCTGGGCGCCCGCGGCGCGGCGCCGGAGGGCGGCTCTGCCCAGCTCGCTGCCAGGCCTCGTCCCCGCCGTTCCCGCCCCCACTTCGGGCGTGCCGGCGGAGGGAGCGTCGAGGGGGGCGACACTGGGGGTGACTGGCTCGGCGAGGCTGCGCTGCGGGTGTAGGCGGGCTCCGAGCCTGGCCTTGGCGTCAGCTTCTGGGTTTCCGATGCGCCAGGCCCAGGGGGCGCTGGCGCTCTCTGCCCTCGCCCAGCTGGTGTGGGCGCGGGTCCAGCTCCACGAACCACTGGCCTCACCGAGTCTTCGACGGGGTTCCAAGCCTTGCCCCGCAGCGCGGCGGTCACGCTCGGCCCAAGGGTGCCCAGGATCGCCCCCAGCCGGCCGTTCACCGCGGATAAGGGCTCGGGGCAAGCCCCCCCCTTGACCAAGAACGCACGCTTCCGCTACGGGGGCAGGTCCGCGCAGAGCCTCTGTGCTGGACTGGGGCCGGGGGGGAGCAGTTGGTCAGCACGCAAGCGAGCGGTGCCTTCGGATCAGGGCGGGGGGAGGAGGAGGAGGAGGAGGAGGAGGAGGAGGAGGAGGAGGAGGAGGAGGAGAGGAGGAGGAGGAGGAGGAGGAGGAGGAGGAGGAGAGGAGGAGGAGGAGGAGGAGGAGGAGGAGGAGGAGGAGGAGGAGGAGGAGGAGGAGGAGGAGGAGGAGGAGGAGGGGGAGGAGGCCCCCCGGTACACATCATCCCACCAGGTCCCAGGAAACCCTGTCCTGGCGGTGCCCGTCGCTGCCTCCCTACCTCCCTCCCTCCCTCCCTCCTTCCCCCCCCTCTCTCTCTTTCTCTTTCTCTCTCTCTCTCTATATCTCTCTCTCTGTCTCTGTCTCTCTCTCTCTCTCTCGCTGTTTCTCTCTCGTTGTGTCCGTCTCTGTCTCTGTCTCTGTCTCTGTCTCTGTCTCTGTCTGCCCGCCTGTCTGTCTGTCTGTCTGCCTGTCTGCCTGTCTGTCTGCCTCTCTCTCTCTCTCTTTCCCTCCTCCCTTCTTCTCCCTTGCAGCCTTTCTCACACGGAGGCCACTGCGAAGGCAGAGCTGGAGGCCAATGCTCAGGCACAGAAGAATCACGAGGAACAGCTTGCGAAGGAGCTGGCAGTTGCCAGGGCGGAAGCAGAGGAGGCCAAGGCGAAGGCAGAAGCCGAGGCCAAGGACATGGCAGAGTTCGAGGCCACGTTGAAGAAGGAGTACGAAGAGAGGCTGTCGAAGACGGTGGCAGATGCCAAGGCGGACGCCGACGCCAAGGCGAGTGCGTACGCCCAGGCGAGGGCGGTAGTGCAGGCGAAGGAGGAGGCGATAGCTGTAGCAAAGGCCAGGGCGGAAGCGGAGGCCGCCGCGAAGGCAGACACGGAGCTCAGGGCGAGCGCTGCGCTGGAGGCCAGTGCTCGGGCACAGAGGGAGCACGAGGAGCAGCTGGCGAGGGAGCTGGCCGCCGCCAGGGCGGAGGCAGAGGAGGCCCGCGCGAGGGCGGCAGCAGAGGCCCGGGCGAGGGCGGAGGGGGCTGCCGGGTCACGGCGGGAGTACGAAGAGAGGCTGGCGCAGGCGCTGGCGGATGCCAGGGAGGAGGCCGCCGCCAGGGCGAGGGCGGAGTACGCGAACAAGGCCGAGCAGCTGGTCGAGGCGGAGGCGAAGGCTGTAGCGAAGGCAAGGGCGGAGGCGGAGGCCAGGGCGAGGGCAGAAGCGGACGCCAGGGAGCAGGAGTACGCGTCGAAGCTGGCCAAGGCGCTGGCAGGTGCCGAGGAGGAGGCGGATGCCATGCTGAAGGCCACGTGGGAGGCGAACGCCAAGGTGAAGGCGGAAGCGGATACCCAGGCAAAGGAGTACGAAGCGAAGCTGGCGAAGGCGCTGGCAGACGCCAGGGTGGAAGCCGAGGCCTCCTCCTCCTCCTCCTCCTCCTCCTCCGCATCCCCTTTCCCGCTTCTCCTCCTCCTCCTCTTTCGCTCTGCTTCCTCCTGTTCAATCTCTTCCCTCCCCTCGCTCTTTTTCTCTCCTACATGCTTCGCCCTCCTCCCTGGGCCCTTCCCCTCCCCTTTGTCCCTCTCCCCCCCTTCCCCTACCCCTCCCCGAGGCCAGGAGGAAGGCAGAAGCCGATGCCGACCGCGCCGAGATGCTCGAGAGGGCGATGGCGGAGGCAAAGGCCAGGGCGGAGGAGGCACTTTCTGGAGGCAGTCAGGCACAGAAGGAGCACGACGAGAAGCTTCTCAAGGAGCTGGCTGCTGCCAGGGCGGAGGCACAGGAGGCCAAGGCGAGGGCCGAGGCCGAGGCGAAGGCGAAGGCGGAAGCCAGCGAGGAGGACGACGCCATGCTGGAGGACGAGGCTCGGGCACAGAAGGAGCACGAAGGGCAGCTCGCGACGGAGCTGGCCGCTGCCAGGGCAGAGGCAGATGAGGCCAAGGCGAAGGCAGAAGCCGAGGCCAAGGACATGGCAGAGTTTGAAGCCATGGCGAAGAAGGAGTACGAAAATATGCTGGCCAAGGTGAAGGCAGAAGCCGCGGCAAAGATTGAGGAGGCGGCCGCGGCAGAGGCGGAGGCCGTGGCACAGGCCACGTCGCGTGCGGAGGCCACGGCTAAGGCTGTGGTGGAGGCCAGGGCTCAGACCATGGCTGAGGCACAGAAGAGTTACGAGGAGAAGCTTGCGAAGGCGCTGGCAGATGCCAGACTGGAGGCGGAGAAGGCGAGGACGGAGGAGGAAGCGGAGGCCAAGGCGAAGGCAGAAGCTGATGCCACGGCAAAGAAGGAGTTCGACGAAAATCAGAGGCTGGCGGGGGCGCTGGCAGAACTCAGGAAGGAATCCGATGCTAGGCGAAAGGCGGAAACCGATGCCCAGTTGCAGAAGGATGCCGAGGAAGAGGCAAAGGCTGTAGCAAAGGCCACGTCGGAAGCGGAGGCCAAGGATGCCAGGGCGAAGGAGGAAGCAGAGGCGATGGCGAAGACTGAATCTTATGCTGAGGCGCATCAGTATTTCAACGAGAATCAAAAGCTCACAGGAAAAAGGAGTCCGACAGGAGAGCTGGAGAAGGTGTTGGCAACTGCCAGGCCCAAAGCCAGAGAGGGCACAGATGCCACTGAAAAGGGTTCCAAGAAAAAGGTGGCCAAAATGCTGGCAGGTGCCCGGAGGAAGCGGAAGGCCAAGGCAAAGTGGGAAGCGGAGGCCAAGACGAAAGCGGAAGTGGAGGCTGAGGCAGCGGTGGAGGCCAAGGTGTGGCTTTCATATCCACCTCGTTCGCGATTCGCTCTCGCGAGCGAGACCCCTCCCTACGAAGGGCGATTCTCAGGCCCTTTTGCTTCCACGCCCGCGATTTCCAGACCTCCGACGTTTTTTCTCCCCCGACGAGGGCCCTGGAGATCTCGGCCCAATCCCCAGGGACAAGGTTTTTGCCGCGGCTTTTTTTAGCAGATGGGTCTGTGCGCCCGCAGACGCGACGCCCGGAGGATTCCGGGCCTGCCGTCCCCCCGCAGCGGCGGGGGTGCGCAAGCTGCCGAGCGGCACAAGGCAGGCGGAGCGGCTGCGCGGACGCTCGCGCGGTGAGCTTCCGCAGAGTGCGCGCTGTACACCGCCACCGCCCGTGCCTAGCCAGGGCCATCCTCGGCGTCGGCCACGGGGGCGCATGCAGCATCCCAGGGCCCAGGATGCCTGTGGCCGAGCATGGCGATCGGGGTGGTGCACCCTTCCAAGAGGAGGCGGAGGGGGCTCCCGAGGAGGCAGGGGGCCTGCCTGTGGAGGGCCCCGGGGGCTTCCGAGAGGGCTTCTGGCTTGGCGGGCTCCTGAGACGCCCCCCCCGCTGACGGTGGTGGCGGTGGTAGTGGCGGTGTTTGCCCCAGGCTCGCTTGGCCTGAAAAGAGGGTTTTCAGGTCAGCAGCGTGGCTTCCTCAGTGGCCCCCTTCCGTTTGATGTTGCGCCTATTACACGTGGCAGGGAAGACAGATATCCCCCCCCAGGGGTACGATCGAAGACGAAGAGGCCGGGTACCCACGGTTTGGGGTTTGGGACACGCATGTTGGTCGACACGCACGCGTATCACAGCGAGTTTTCTTAAACTTGTTGTTATAGTTGTTGTTGCTGCTGTTGTTGTTGGTGTCGTCGCCGTTGTTGTCGTAGTAGTTGTTTTTGCTGTTGTTGTTGCTGCTGCTGTCGTTGTTGTTGTCGTTGTCGTTGCCGTTGTCGTGGTGATTGTGGTTTTGGTTGTTGTTGTTGTTGTTGTTGTTGATGTTGTTGTTGCTGTGGCTGTTGTTGCGGTTGCTGATGCTGTTGTTGTTGTTGTGGTGGTGGTGGTTGTTATTGTTGTTGTTATTGTTATTGTTATTGTTGTTGCTGTTGCTGTTGCTGTTGCTGTTGCTGTTGCTGTTGCTGTTGTTGTTGTTGTTGTTGTTGTTGTTGTTGTTGTTGTTGTTGTTGTTGTTTTTTTATTACTGAAGAATGATTATTGTTGAGCCCCCCCAGTGCACATTATGTTTTTCAATTGAAGTGCCCTTCCCGGCGCTCGCACCCTGTTTTTCATCAGGGAAAGCCTTGAGGCTCAAACTGTGCCTTTGGCCCCCGGTTTACAACAACAGCGGCTCCCGCTTGATACTTCCTCGAGATTTGCTCCGGTCCCCCGCTCCCGCTTAAGACTTCCTCGCAATTTACTCAAGAATCCCGCTCGCGCTTGAGACTTGCTCGCAATTTCCTCATGCTCCGCGCTCTTGCCATTCAGGAATCGCGCGTTCGCTGGGGACTTCAAATTTATTTAGGGAGGTTTCTCTCGCTGGAAACTTCCTGGCTAATCACGCAGAACTCACGATCGATCCGCCCGCTCGGCCCGCCCGTCAGGGTCATGCCCTTCGTGCCTCATGCTCGCTCGCGCAATTTGTGCCTCATTGCTGCCCTTCGTGGCCCCTCCCCTTTTGGCCCAGTCGCTGCCCTTCGTGGCCCCGCTGCTGCCCTC